TGATAAAAGGCTTTTCTGGGGAGTGGCTGAGCCCTGCCTGCCCTGGCCCAGCTTCATGGCTCCTTTCTTCTTTGAGGGCAGCCAACAGGAAAACTGTTGCTTAGCTTCTTCTGGGTCCTACTTTGGTTCAGCGTTCATCAAACACCCTGGCTTTCTGCTTGGCACATGTCAAGATACCACACTGAACCAGCAAGAACTTGATTGCACAGGAAGACTTATGGCTCACGCAAACACCTACAGCAAAGAAATAAACATTTGTATTTCTCGTAAGCTAACAGATTATTCTTACTGTATGTTCCTTTGCTCCCAGTTCCCTACCGATTAATTCTTTTCCACTATTTATCAGATTTATCAACACTGTATTAGGTATTCAAACTGTTTGGTTTTTTCCTTTTATTTTCTCTTGCTTAGGTTTTCAGTGTATTTTAAAATATGTCCATTTATAGCTTGTTGCAGCCCTGTGAAATAATGGTTTCATTTGCTTCTGACATTGTTCTGGAGCTTGAAACATGAAACTCTATATTATTTCCAAATGTCTTTCATGACAGGAGAAAAATCATTGAAAAACAACTACGGTAACTTGGGCGAACCTTCTGCTCGACAGGTTTTCCTTTGCTGAGGCAAACAGCAATGCGTTCACCCTACGTTTCAATATCTGCGCCTACTGCGTTATATATTCCAGCAGTTTGTCTCTGCCAGGGGGAGCAGGCATTGCGCAGAGGAGTTTGCGGTTCATCCAGAGTTAAGGGGAAGGCGGCACACGGCACGGATGACAGACGCCAGGCTTTAGCACTTGGCTGATGTTATGGGACAGCCTGTTTGCACATTCCTGTTGCTGGAAAGACAATGCATTAATACAACCAGAACTTTGTTTAAAACCTTGACAGAGATGGTGACCTATCCCAGATGGCAAATGGCAGGGATGTCAGGCTGAAAGGTTTTTTGAACAGGGTTTTATGCTGTAGGGAGCTACACTGGGCACGTAATTAAAATATTCTTCATGTGATACAAACAGTTTGAGCCTTTGGCTGACTATTATTGACTGAATCCCATAATATGAGAACAGACTGAACCCCACCCCCTCCACCCCCCCTTGAAAATAAGAGTGGATCAGTTTAAAGCTGGTAAAATAAAATACTTTTTCTGTGCAGCAGGTAGGGAATTTCTGGAAGTTTTTGCGCCAGGAGAGTTATGAAAGCAGCTGGTATTAGAAGGTGCAAAAAGGGATTGAACAAACTCATGATTCATTAACAGATCCTAAAAGGAATAGACATGGACATAGTCTCAAATTTCTGTAGCCTTTTTATTGTAGATGGTGGTGCACCACACCAATGGCCACCTCTGAAGCTGGGGCACCTGCAGGGTCATCAACTGGAGAGGAGAGGAGCCCATGCCTCTGGGTATCAATCCCCTCCATTGGATGAAATCAGGAGTCTTAAGCACCGAAGATGCTATAACCAGAAGCTGCTTCGTTAGCTCTGGCAGATGAATTTGGATATTTGAACTACCAGGCTTTGGGTCCTATTTCTGCTTTATCCTTTGTCTTTAGGGCAACTTCAGGTCAGTTATGGGGTTGTTAAATGGCAAAAGGGCTTTACAGGGTGAAGCAGTCAGTCCTGTTTGTAAGGTTCTCTGAGCACTGTTTCTATTTGAAAGAGGCTCATTTCATACTGCCTATTAACTACCTGTAAGAGAATCATTACTGGGTTCTCATGCTATCAGGTTTTAGACAAGGGAGTTATAAAAGAAAAATGGTGTGAGGTTTTCAACATTTCAACCTTTTGATAGAGCAAAAGTCTTTATTTTTAGACTGAGGTGATCTGAAACACTAGGGAAATAGGAGGACTGGAAAGAAAAACTCAACCCAAAGGAACCGTTATCAGGGGAGGCCAGCCAGCCCATGTGGGCAGTTTTGGAGGTTGTATGTCTCTAAGCAATTTTATGGTAATCTCCTGGTCCTGCTGATGTCAATGTCAATGTCAAAGCCCACCGCCTTTGGTAGAGTTGAAATTGCACCCTGGTTCATAATTAAATTTGTTCGGGCCACATTCACAATTAAATAAATAAGCCAATTAAAATGCCAGTAAAGTTTATCTCCAGCAGGTGCTCAGAAATTGTCTTATTTCTCCATTGCTGACTCATTGTCTGTATATGACCATCACCAGAGCTATTGGAAAATGACTTCACAAAAATTGAAATAAAAATGCTTACAGCTGTAATTACTGTTTCAAAGAATTCATATATTTAAGCAAAAGTATGAGTAAAGTTCTGTCTGGCTCTTATGCTCAGAAGTGCGCAAGCAAAGATGTAAATAAAAGCAGGAAAAACTTCCAAAACCCCCGGGCAGCTTTGCTGAACATGTGCCTGTTCTTATTTGTGCAAAAGGTTTGAAAATTGTGGTCAGATCATCTGACCAGGAGCGACAGATATTTTCTAAGCAGAACCTGTGTAAATACTGTATATTTGTCATTATACTCGGAATAACTTCTTAATTAATAAATTTTGCCTATGTTGTAGAGAGGCTCTCCAAAGTTTTTAGACTTCAATACAATTTGTTCATGAACTTAAGCCCAGAAGGGAACACAAAGTCATTTACTATGACCTTCCATACACAGACTATTAAATCTCACTGAGTTACCAAACTACTACAACATGAATAAAATCCAAATTAATGGGTTAGATAGATACCCTATCTCAGAACTCTCAGTATTTCAAACAGCTGAAAAAAGCCAACCCTATTATCCTCGGAGACTTCCTCATGTCCCTGTTGAGTATTTTCTGATACTGATGTTTTTCTTTCCTTATCTCCTGCTCCCAGTCTACTGTGAAGTTTGTCCCTATTCCAGGGAGACCAGATGTACTTAAACTCCCAAGAAAAAGGTAAAGCTCTTGCATGCTTTTCAGACTAGCTGTATGGAGCACTTTGAAGGAGTATTTTAAAGAATGAAGCAAGCAGTTAAGATTCTTCAGTTCTATTGCTTTAAAATTGGGGAGGTCTTGTCAATGGAGCATAAAGAACATGTTGGCCAACCAGGCAGTAGGTGTCTTCTTCAGGGTGGGCTAAATCACCCTCAAGGTCTGTTGACCGAGTGACCCCACTGCTCACCATACTGGCTGTCTACAGAGAGATTTGGGCACCTGGCTTATATGCATATACCTCTATTAAAATGTTTCAACCAAGGAGTCTTCACCCTGAGCCGAGTCACACTCCTGAGCTCTTTCAGTAGCTGCATAATGTGCAATTCATCTCCTCCTTAAAAAGGTTAGGGGACTCGCACTAGCATTTAACATTTTCACATCATTCTCATAGTCAGACACACATGTCATGAAAATAACTTTCCAGTTATCTAGATTAATGTGTCATAGAGTAAAAGGTAAATATAGAAAATACAGTTATGCTAGTAATCATACATTCAGTCAAAACTAGAATTTTAAGTAATTTTGTTGTCAGAAATACAGGCAAGAGAGCTCTATAATTCTTCAAACTCTCACCAAAGCTTTTGAAGATTATTATCAAATGTCTCCAAAGTCCATAGCAAATGTGATCTTAGTTTAGTACTGAGATGTCTGACTCATTTGGCTGTAATGATCCTTCTGTAACCTCAAACTCAGTATATGATGTTTGGAGCTGCAGTAAAACAAACTGTATTTCCCTGGAGCAGGCCTGTTAGGGACTGGCAGATTGGTTACTACAGTTGTTCAGGACCATCTTTTAATGCCTGTCCATGTAGTAGGTAAATGACTAAAGAACCACAGTGGTGTAAAAACACAAGTTCTACTATACTGCATTAATGGAGGCCTCAGTAAATAGCAGTGAAAGGATTAAAACTATCCTTGGATTTATAAAATAAATGAATCCTGAGAAGTATTTTTTTTTTAAGATATAAAACATGGGCAATTTATTTTTCTCTTGACTTGCCTTGTCCTCTAAGCTTTTGTTTCTTACTCAAGCCAACATTGTCCTTATGAATGTAAAGAATACTTCAGCAGCATTTTTATTCTATACCTGAATATACCAGAAAAAGATTTTTTGCAATGCTTGGAGCACAAAATCTATTTCCTCTGTAAAATCAATTTTTATCTGGATCAGACATAGCCCATTGCTGTAGGACAGCCACACTAGAACAGAGGAGATCGTTGCTCTGGCTGTGAACTGATGTATTGTGGTTTCTACAGGTTCTTGGATCCTCTGAACAAGCTGTGACAAAAATGTGAAATGCTTTAAATCTGGACTTGGAAAATATCGTACAAGATCTTCATCTGACATGCTACTCCCTGTCTGGCATTCACATATCCCATGAAAAACAGTTCAGTGTTGTGGCTGAACTGGTACCAGCAGCCTCTCGCTAAAGAACAGCTTAATCAAATTTGAGGTCACTTCACAAACTGGCTCCTGGGTTAATGTTATGAATGATCTTCCAGAGATTTACACACTGGAAATCTACAGGTTTTAATAGACGTGTGTTGGGGGAAAAAAAAAAAATCAAAACAACTTTTCCAAAAACAAAACGGGCAAAGATAAAGAAAAAAAATGAATAGAAAATCCCATAAATCAAAGCTTCTTGTGGGTTTAAATTTTCTATTCTACTTTCTGTATCTTTTTTTTTTCAGCATTTATTTCATCTTTGGTTTATTTCATTTGGGGGATGGGAGCTTGTAGCCACACAAAGTAACAATATTACACATGGGTTACAGTGTCAGAAGAATTATGTGACACAGTTGTCTGTTAAAACAATGTATTAAACTCCATCAGGCAGTTTCTCCCCATTCCGTGCTCCTCATAAGTCCTTGCTGTTTTAACTGCTCCTCTGACAATTCCATTTCATTTTCCACCGCCCTTACACCTGCAAATAGCTGCAGAGTAACACAGAAAAATTTGTCAAATTTAGCTTAAGTGACTTAGAAGTCCTCTCTGCATGATTTTGGCTCAGCATAGATATAGGCCCTCTTAATAAAATGACCTTTGATCTCCTGTTTTCAACAGTGGACTTCTCTCCTGTCTAGAAGACCAGAAACCAACCACTGTACTTCTTAAAATCATCATCAGTCTCAAAGCACGGTATGAAGGATGACCTCTGACGTTGATGAGACTTACAGAGATACTGTCAGTGGGTGAATTTCCACCAGCATCAGCTTTTCATCTCTTTTAAATCCAAGCAAATTGCAGGCTGAGAACCATGGGACCTTCCAGAGAAGATGGCATCTCCAGTAAGAACTTGTTTATTCCTGAGAAACTCTTTTCTATAATACAAACCATGCCATCTTCCAAGCATCTTTCTCAGGTCTGGAAATCAGTTTTTCTCTTTGGGGGAAAAACAATGAAACAAAAAACCTACCAAAAACTTGGCCGCAAAGAGAAGATCACTATTACCTGTCTGTGCAGCCAGCCTTCACTTTCATCTTCGTGTTTCTAAAAGAGAAGATGATCATTAATATCACACTTCACATGTATTACATTTTGCTTATCAGTGCAGGAAGCAGCTGGACTGAATCTGAAAAGTTGTTCAGAAATACAAAGAAAATGTTTAAACATGTGCTTCAGGAGCATAAGCCAGCGGCTGCTCTCCTGGCCTTTCCTCCCTGATGAATAACCATGCACTCATTCAAGAAAGCATTTTACTCATACAGACAAAACACATAAACCCACAAGATATATTATTCCCCAGAGAAATAAAGCTTGTTAAGAAGCAAATAAGGGTTGAAATGGAAGTTGTTAGGAAGACTCTGCACTGCGCTCTATGCACAGCATTGCATCATTTTTTCAAGGGTTGGATATATCAGAACAATTTTCTACAGCGGAAACACCTATGCCAGTTTAAAAGATAGTATCTGCTAATAGGTTACATCAATACACCGTTTACATTCGTGTGTCTATAGAAGGGATTAATTAACTGCAATTAAAATGTGGGTAGATAAGCAGGAGCCATTTTTAATGCCATTAAATATATATAATGCCCTTAAAGTAGAACGTTGCCAAGACATTCAGGTTACAAACTGTTGATGTGTGTGTGCACTTGTGCATGTATACAGTTATTTCAGGACAAGTAATCACTCTTACACACACATGCATGCACAAAGCGTTCCTAGCTTTCTAGAAGGTGTAAAAAAAAAGAGGTGAATATTGCAAACTTTGCTTATATTCTGTGTCTGCCTAAATAAATGTGTGCCAGCTGACTTGTCACCAGGTAAAACAACTGAAATACTTTCTCCTTGCATGGGTTATGAAAACCGAGGGCAAGCGACCGTTTGGCTCCTCTCTCCTACCTTGGTGCAGACTCCGGTGGTGGCGTCGCACAGCGTCAGGATAGACACGTTCTGGGCCCTGTTCAGCCAGTTTACTGCCACCTTGGTGCTGGTTGCCCATTTCACCATGGTTATGTAGTAGTCCCTGCACAGAGAGACATACATAAAACGTATCACCGTGCTGACAGCCTAATGAATTGCCACACAGCAGAGCAGTCGGAGGCTGCTGCAGGCAAACTGTCCAGGAGAGATCTCTGGTTATTAAGAATGCTGCGTCTTGATGTCTCTAGGCTTCCTTATGTATGGATTTCAACCCCTAAAAATGACATTTTTAGGGCTGTGCAGGTGTTTTATCTGCCACTTCTGAAAGTCATTTTCAAAGAAGAGACGAATGCAGAGATAAAGAATCTTTCAAGCTATTCAGCCTTCCAAGAAGGACTGAAATGCCTGGAGCTATAAATTTATGCACAGGTGGAAAAGAAATTGCAAACAATTTCCATTCTGAGCACAGTAACCGGCTGACTCAGGCCTATCACTGCCAATGGCTGGATTCTTTATGCTTATGAAGAGTTAATGGCCTCTAAATATGCCTACTACACACCAAAATAGCCACGCGTGTTGCATTAAAAGGCAAATAGCAAGAAGGATATGGTTTAGAGAGACACAGGGTTTCTGTAAAGCAGATGCAGCTGGTTGCCATAAAGACGTCAGCGGAGATGTGACAGTTTGCGTCAGCAAAACCGCCATCCCCCACCGCCTGTACCACCCTCTATTGCTGGACATATTCACGTTGTGATAATACTTGGAGTAAATCAGCAGCATGGGCTGCGCAAGTCCTGGAATCGATGTCTTTAGGAAAAGTCCTGTGCAATAGTGAGCAATGGAACTGCTTAGGCCGGGCTGAGCTGGAAAATACAGGATCATGAATAAATCCACCGATGGTCGCCTTCTCAGAGCCAGCATGCGGTGGTGCTCAGACACGTCCACCTCTGCAGCAATTCAGGGCTTCACCGCTTTATCTGTAGGGTAAAACTCCGGCTGAGCTGACAAAGCTGGTGATGTTATAATATACTGCTGGGCTATGTGGGCCAAAGACATCCTTAAATTATAATATGACTTTTCACAGCATACAGTCTATAAAAAATTTATTAGTTCATTTGTTTGCTATAAAATATGTATAAGGAATTGTTGCTCTCATCGGAATTAATGTGCTGTGTCACTGGAGAGTACTTTGTGTTCTGGCAAGCGCTGCTGCGTATACTGAAGAGGAAGGGCAAAAGCAACAAAGGCCCGTTTGTCTAGCGAAATAACAAGCTGGGAATTGATTTTGTAGTTTTCAGTAATATTTAGTACCCGAATTTGGCTGGGGGAAAATAACAAAAGACCTCAGTGATTGCATCCACAGCACTGGGAGGAAGGATACTTCCAGGTGAGACAACAGCAGTCTGAAAATTCAGTGCCTGAAATAAAATTGTAATTTTACTCTTTATCAGCAACAGCATAGGCCCTAAGAGGAAAAAAAAAACCAACAAAGCAAAATTAAACTGTATAACCATCTCTTCTTTCTCTCCAGAATTAACTGAGCAGATTCAGTCTCCCCAGAAAAGGGCTGTGAGTTTAGTACATGCTGTGGCTTGGAGCATTTTTCCCATAAATCCAATTTAAATTTTGAAGGACATATATTTGATTTTTACATCCCTCTCGCTGTTTGAACACAGGAGCCACAGTTCTTTCTCGGGAACTTTTAATTATTATTATCTCCCCCACCACCCCAGAGATGGGCACGGAGTCTCAATTTCCCTCTGAAGCCTCTCCCAGCCACCAAGCCCACAGATAGCCCAGCCGGCAGACAACTGCAGATACTTGTGTAGTTTTTATTCTAGTCTCCGAGTAGTGTGGAGCCTTTAATTTACTTCACTTCATATCTCTTCTGCAGGACAACTAAGTTTTATGTTTCCCATTTTCAGAGGAAAATGAGACATTGAGGGGTGATTCATCCCAGTTGATTTCAAACATCTGTAGCTCCGGCAGCTGCACTGGTTGAGCAGCCAGTGGAGAGAAACGGGGAGCCAGTGCATCTCCCAAGCCCTCTTTGCCTGACCTGTCCCAGGTTTTATGCACAGCTGATTTAAGGAGAACCTGTTTCTTCCCATAGAGAAAAATCTAGACCAGCCGCTACCTGACCACTTCTTTTGTAGACATCCACATCAAAGCAGGTTACAGCCTCCCAAAGGAAAGGAATAACTTGTCTGATCCTCTTCAGGAAGGGTGTGGTTATGCTGAGCTTTGCGATGGATTTCCCCATCCCACTAAAGACGTTGGTGGTTGGGTTTGCAATCGTCTGTGATGGGTTATTGCGTGGTGCTCTTATTCATACCCTGACTTTACTTGGCTGCTTTCTGGAGGTATGAATCTAAAATATGAGGTATGAATCTACAATGTGGATACTTAAAGTATGACAAAAGTAATGAAGCCATAAACACCCCAAAGAACAGACAAAGATCTATTACATGGCCAAGTGAGATGCAGCAGCCCAGCCCATGATCCCTGGGGCACAGCTGGCTCCTGCCTCTGATCCAGACTTGTGTTGCCTGAGTTTCTCCATTATTTACTTGTTCATGACCTATGCAAGGACAAGTGATGATTTCTGCACGCAGGGGAGATAACGTCTTTCTTTAATTTGCCACCTGGGATGCAAGTATGACATGAGAAATAAGTTGGACCATGGTCCAATTCTGACTGCCTGCTGATGTAACTCTTGGGGTCCAATGGTTTTCATCAAAATAAAAAATGCCTATCAGACATTAAATGTTATAATACTTTTTTTCCCCTGAAATGTCTACCCCTTCCCTTCACTTTCTTTTTCTCACTGAAAAGCAAGGCATCGGAGAAAAATTGGCAAAAAATGCTCAGAATGAAAGATTTTTAAAAGGAAAAATCATCAAAATTGTACATTTTCCCCCAAAATATTTTCCCATCATCATATTTTTTTTTTTAACTGATAAATATCCCAATTCTGTGGAAAATTTCTGATTTCCTTTAATTCTGACATAAGAAAGACCCTGGCATATCTCCACTTCATTCTCAGCTTTATTAGTTGTACTAAACCACTTCGCTCCAGATAAAAAGAACACCAAGAAGTACCGCTCTGTCCATAAATCATCTGCGTGAACAGACTGAACACATTGAAATGCTTCAGATAGGACGGCTCTGCCTGAAGATCCTTATCTCCACCTTTCCCTGCTTCTTCGAAACTCCCTTCTGTAACTAACTGTACGGTACATCCCTCTTGTCTATTTTAATGAAATGTTATCACACTAATTCTCTCGTTTCAGAAAACATATGCATAATGAAAATGCACCCCTATTGCTCTAGCAGCACTACTTATATCATGCCCTAGGGGTGGAAATTGCCATGGTTTTGATGAAATATACAGAGACTAATTAATTATGATCTATTTTGCATCATTCTACAATATTGTTTGCAACCAAATAAATTGCAGCCACCCATAACCACATAGGACAAATGTATTAACAACACTTGGATCTTGCAGTCTGAAGATACTACTATAATGAAAATGTTTCTGAGTCTCTCTGTTTACAAAGTATGCTAGCAACAGCAAAATGATATTGTCCAGGAGCTGCAGTTCCCTCGACCTGCTAGCCACGCTTCTTTTGACACAGCCCAGGATACAGTTGGCTTTCTGGGCTGCAAGCACATATTGCTGGGTCATGTTGAGTTTCTCATCAACCAACATGCCCAAGTCCTTCTCCTCAGGGCTGTTCTCAATCCGTTCTCCACCCAGGCTGCATCTGTGCATGGGATTGCCCTGACCCATGTGCAGGACCTCGCACTTGGCCTTGTTGAACTTCTTGTGAGGTTCTCATGGGCCCATCTCTCAAGCCTGTCAAGGTCCCTCTGGATGGCATCCCTTCCCTCCAGTGTGTCAACCACACCACGCAGCTTGGTGTTGTTGGCAAACTTGCTGAGGGTGTACTCAATCCCACTGTTCCTGTCACCAACAAAGATGTTAAACAGCGCCATTCCCAATACAGACCCCTGAGGAATGCCACTTGTCACTGGTCTCCACTTGGACATCAAGCCATTGGCTGCAACACTTTGAGTGTGACCTTCTAGCCAATTCCTTATCCACTGAGTGGTTCATCTGTCATATCCATGTCTCTCCAATTTAGAGACAAGGATGTCATGCGGGACAGTGTCAAATGCTTTGCACAAGTCCAGGTAGATGACGTTAGTTGCCCTTTCCTTATTCACCAATGCTGTAACCTTGTTGTAGAAGGCTGACAAATTTGTCAGGAACTATTTGCCCTTAGCAAAGCCATGTTGGCCGTCACCAATCACCTCCTTATTTTCCATGTGCCTTAGCAGAGTTTCCAGAAGATCTGCTCCATGGTCTTGCCAGGCACAAAGGTGAGACTGACCGGCCTGTAGTTCCGCAGGTCTTCTTTTTTTCCCTTTTTTAAAAATGGGGGTTATATTCCCCTTTTCCAGTTAGTGGCAACTTCACCAGACTGCCGTGACTTCTCAAATATGATGGATAGTGGCTTAGAAACTTGATCCATCAGTTTCCTCAGGACCCATGGATGCATCTCATCAGGTGCCATGGACTTATGCACCTTCAGGTTCCTTAGATGGTCTCAAACCTCATCTTCTTCTGCAGTGGGGGGTTCTTCATTCTCCCAGTCCCTGCCTTTGCCTTCTGTGACTTTGGTGGTGTGGCTTGAGCACTTGCTGGTGAAGACTGAGGCAAAAAAGTCGCTGAGTACCTCAGCCTTCATATCCTGGTTACCAGGTCTCCCATTTCCCTCCAGAGAGGGCCCACATTTTCCCTACTCTTCCTTTTATCACTGATGTACAAGCTTTTCTTGTTGCCTTTGACGTCCCTGGCCAGATTTAATTCTATCAGGGCTTTAGCTTTCCTAACCTGATCTCTAGCTACTTGGACAATTTCTCTGTATTCCTCCCAAGCTACCAGTCCTTGCTCCCACCCTCTGTAGGCTTCCTTTTTATGTCTGAGTTTGTCCAGGAGCTCCTTGTTCATCCATGCAGGCCTCCTGGTGTTTTTTGCCTGACTTCCTCTTTGTTGGGATGCATTGCTCCTTAGCTTGGAGGAGGTGATCCTTGAATATTAACCAGCTTTCTTGGCCCCTTCTTCCCTCCAGGGCTTTATCCCATGGTACTTTACCAAGCAGATCCCTGAAGAGGCCAAATGTTGCTCTTCGGAAGTCCAGGGTAGTGAGCTTGCTGTGTGCCCTCCTCAGTGCCCTAAGGATCTTGAACTCCATCATTTCATGGTCATTGCAGCCAAGGCTGCCCTTGAGCTTCACATTCCCACTAGCTCCTCCTTGTTGGTGAGAACAAGGTCCAGCATAGCACCTCTCCTCATTGGCTCCTCTATCACTTTGAGAAGGAATTTATCATCGATGCATTCTGGGAACCTCCCAGATTGCTTATGCCCTGCTATGTTGTCCCTCCAGCAGATATCGCGGTGGTTGAAGTCCCCCCATGAGGACCAAGGGTTGTGAACATGAAGCTGCTCTTATCTGTCTATAGAGGGCCTCACCCGCTCGGTCTTCCTGGTTCGCTGGCCTGTAGCAGACCCCCACTATAATGTCACCTGTCCCTGCCCTCCCTTTTATCCTGACCCAGAGAGAAGCTCTCAGTCGGCTCCTCATCCATCTCCAGGCAGAGCTCCATGCACTTCAGATTGTCACTGACATAGAGGGTGACAGCCCCTCCTCGTCTCCTCTGCCTGTCCCTCCTAAAGAGCCTGTATCCTTCCATTCCAGCTCTCCAGCCATGGGAGCTGTCCCACCATGTCTCCATGATGCCAATGTGATCACAGCCCTGCAGGCGTGCGCAGGCTTCTGCTTGTAGGGCTGCCCCATTTCTGCTTCACGGTCTTTCATACAGGTTGCAGACAATATGCCCTTTACAATGCCTGTGATTACATGTGAAATGAATGTGTTATGGATTTGGGGACATTTTGTCAAATTCTCTAAAAATAACCTTACACTGAAGTTAGTCTGGGTCACAGCGATTTCAACTAAAAAACTAGCAATGTTCTATAAAAAAACATATAAGAAGAAAAAGAATTTGAAAAATTTTGAAGAGATTTACAGAGAGTGAAACTCCTTGATAGTGGCAGAGAAAGGCACTGTAAAATGATCTTGAAAAAAAGTCAGGGACTGATTTAAATCCCTGACAGAAACAGGGTCCAGCATCCCAGGGCAAGAAAGCACCTACCTCATTCTCTGATCATCAGGGGGAGTCATTTCCAGGTCATGGGTAGGTCCGTTCAGACCAATCACATGCAAAGAAATAGTTGGATTTTCCATTCCAGCCTGGATTTTAAAATAAGAATAAGTTACAGTATTTTATACAGCACAAAATGGTTTTGATTTGTTGCCTCCCCACGGATTATAAAAATGCATTCCCATTGTATGGGGCTACAGATTGGACTGCTGCAGTTGTTCATGAGAAAACTGTAGTGCTGTGGGACAGAGGTGTGGAGAGGTTGGTAGGCACAACCGAGGGGTAATTTTACTTAGGAAACCTCTATCCTTGGTAAAAAATGTTACTTTTCACAGCGACTTTTTCATATTGCTACTTTATGTACCTTTTGAGAAAAGGTTGTCTAACAGGATGATGGTAAACATAGTAAAATACTGCTTCATTTTGGATTGTAGGAAAGGGCATCCCCTGCTGAATCACTGCTACCTTCCACAAACCCTGCATGCATGTGGATATCTCTCCTGTGAAATTATGGTTCAATTTGGACCAACGTGTGAGGGTCTTAAGTAATCAGCGTGTGAAGCGGGACACCTGGAAGAAACGACTGCAGCACAGTACGCTTCTGTCTTATAGCAGAAAATTGGAGGGGTAGGAGCAGCGGCGTGGCGGCAGTGGCAGAGAGCTGTGCTGGTGCCGTGTGCCTGCTGCGGGGCTGCAGTCGAGGAGGGGTCGGCTCTTAAGTCTTTTCTGTCTTTCACTGGGTTCTTTATAATGTTCAGGCACATCGCGTCTACAAAGCCAGGCTGTCTCCTCTGACATTAGGCCATCCTGGATATTCTAAGGAAGCCCAAATATTACATTTTCCTTCTGTGTAAAAGGAAATGTATCTACATGTAGTAATGCTGGCTTCCAAACTCTTAGACACCTATCTAGCATGGAAGAACACCTGCTTTTGCTTTTTCATTATATTTAGAATGACTGAGACTCAAATCAGAAAAACTGCAATTTCGCAAATGCAACTAAAGAGTAATGAAGATCACGTTCACTGGGGAACAGCTGATCATCCCTTAGATCTGTTTATTTTTATTGCTTATGAATGTGCACCATTATACAGTCTCCTGTCTGAGCCTACTAGAAAAAAAATAAATTGATAAAACAACAGGACTGTTTGTTTTATTTTCCCTTACCTTTGGATAATGGTATGTTTTAACAGTAGGGTAAAGGCTGCCAGTGTATACTGGGATCTCCATGGTAGGGACTCTGGAGGCATTAATCGTTGCATACGCTAACCTGGTACCATCAGGAGACCACCAATGAGCAATGTGAGTCTTCAAGATCTCCTCTAATTAAAAAAAAAAAAAAAGGTGAAAACAGAAAAAAAAGGCTATTAGACATAAACTATGAGTTAGTAATAAATGAAACAGCATAGATAAGAAAATCCCAGTCTAATCACGGCACAGGGAAGATGCCACAGGAATATAAATTAAAAATACTCGTTAAATTATGCCATATACACAAACGAACACAATTGATAACAATTACTCCGAATATATAGGTTATTAAGCATAATTATCTTGCTCAAGAAACATCAAATTATTCATATTAGTACACATATTCATGGCAGCATAAAAGGCCCTGCTACTCCTACTATATGTCCTGTATCTGGCTGTCTGAACATATATACGTGCACGTGTTGGCAGAGCTGGGGTTCCCCACTACCCAGTGGTAACATAACTGGGGCTCCCTCGGGGCTAGCAGCAATGACTGTGATTTAGTTCTCCTCTGCAAAGTCATACCAGACACACATCAATGGATTCAAACAGTTTTTAGACTCAGATACAAACACTTTGTCTACAATTTAAATCTTCCTAAGCTCTGTTGCCAGTTGGGAATAAACAAAAATAGCAATTTTCTATAGGTTATGCAATGCTGGAACTTTGTAACACTTGACAAGATACCAGGCTTTAGAGTCTGTGGCCTGGATACCGTCTTGACTTTTATCACCATTTCATTTTTTAAACCACTTTTGCAAAGCAATTTTCAATAAACAGCCAGTGTCAGAGATTGATCCTGTTTACCACTGAATTTTGGGATTACAGATTTTTGGTGATTTCAGTAATGTAGTTGCTATTGAAAAGGTACTCAGAAAGATGCCAGTAAAAACATGTCAGAGTTCAAGTATGTAAGGAGAAAACAAGATTGCCATCACCAGAAAATATTTTGAAGGCTGGCAGAACCTAATTCTCATTAAACACAAATTCAAAGAGCTTCTGATTTCTAATACTTTTTCTTATAATTAACTATCATCATTGCAAAGATGACTTCAGCTTATGGATACCCAGAAAAGCTATAAAATTCACTCTTTGTTCAAAGTGTCTCCAGTTACTGACATTTGGAAGACACTAACCTAGCTTTTTAAACCTCCCATTTTGCAAAAGGCAATAACGTAATCCATTTTCATTAAGAGGCTTAATATCATACGAGTCATCCCTATTTAAACCATAGCAGAAGGACCTGCATATGCTGTACAGATTGATGGGCAGGAAGACAGGTCTCATTACTTTAATGTGAGAAAAAGAATTAAAGAGGCTGCAGAGTGTTTCTAAGCCTTCATCACTGAAGTCCTGCTACACAAGTCCAAGCAGCTCCAATGTCTGCTGTTATCGCTGGTCATTGCAAAAACAAACGAGGATTTTCAGAGTTCAGACCCACCATGTTTGTACACCGCCCTGTGGTGACCCCTCGATCCAACCAGAATGTCCCTCTGGTCTGAAGAGTAGAAACTCACCAAAGACTGTTTGATTTCTTTTTAAAAAAATTTGGATGAGGGATCCTTGGAGAATAGACAGACAATTCTATTCATCATCGAGCAAATTAACACCTTTGCTAATCCAGACTTGCATTTGGGTTGAGATAAAACTCAAGGTAATATTAGAAAGGGTGCAAGGGAAAATCACCTTTGGTAGTTATGCCTTCTACAAACAACAAATTAATTAAGCAATACTTAATGGCAACATCTAAGTGAGGTTTTGGACAGATGTCTAGGAAGTTGCAAATATTTTATGGGAAAGCACATGTCTGGCAAATTTGCTTTGCTGCACTGTCCCACCTGTTGTGTGTACATTTAAAAGATGCTGCTTTTGACTTTTATATTCGTTGCTCATTAAAGAGATAATTAAGAGCATAAAGGAAAAGGAGTAAAAATGGATGGCAGATGAATCCTTGACATTTTAACATTAATTAAGAATGACTTTATTCAGCAAACATTTTCTCCAGGATCTCAGACTTAATGAAGCAGTTCTGCTGAAGGTCACATGCCAAGAAAGGTTTTAGTGCAGGTATCGTGGTCCTCTGTTAATGAGGTTTAATTGTACAAACCTTTGCCTTGAAACAAAGCCAAGACCTTGCCGGTATTAGAGAGATCAGTTAGTTTTAGCAAACTAGAGAACATTCTTATGAAATATAAAACGCATTAATACCAGAAAGTTTCAGCTGCAAATAAAATGTAATTTGCAGACAATTTGGTTTTGGGGACACTTTATTCTTTGTGCTTGCATTTACCGCATGCTCAGAAAATCAGTCGCATTTAATACTCCTGGGTCTTTCTCAAATCAGTTCAGAACCCACTTCATATGTATAAGAAACCAGGTTCTCCTTAAAGACCAAAGCCCCCCCTCCACATATACCTCATGACCTCCTAGCTAAGAGTATAAAGTGACAATTGATCAAAGCTTTTGCTCTCCCTCAAAGCCTGCCGTCGCTGGGTGCTACTTGACACAGGGATGCTGTGAGCGAGCCGCGGAGATTCCTCACAGTCAGTTGGTGGTGGATCTGTGCTGCTTCTTTCTCCATAGCTTTGCTTGCCAGCCATCCCACTGGGGCATGCAAACCCTAAAAATAGTGAGAATGAAGTGTGCAGTTGCCTTAACTGAGCTAGGACTGTTCCGCCTTGGTGGCTGGGTTCAAGCACAGTGTCTGAGGCAAGTCAATGCTTCTTCCACGTTACCACATTCAGTATCAAACCACTCTGGATGACCTTGCTTATAAGTAGTGCCTTTTTGTTGGGGACATGTATTAGCCAGCTGGTAATCCAGTGAAATGCTAGGAGTGTTACAGTATGGGTACTTTGATCCCTCTTCTAGCTGAATAAGACTCAACTGAATGACCATTTCAAAGCTGTGTGAACAAAAGGGTCTTCTAAGTTAACGGACCCTCAGGAGGAGCATTTGAAGTCCTAGGTGACAGACTACCAACAATATTTGGTGACAACCGGGTATATATCCATTTTAGAGACTTTAATATCACTGGATGAGAAAAGAAACTGGAAACAATAACAGAGGCGTGATGAGAGGAATCTTCCCCGAGCTGAATTAAAGGTTGCTGCATTCAGTGCATTACGTAGGTGGTTGTCTTTCATATCAAGACCTGAACAGCATCCAGTGCAAACCAGGCTGCCCTCAACAGGGATGCCATCTCTTCAGAAGAACGCATTTCCTGACAGATGCTTTCCTGCTCACTGTTAGGAAGCAGAATGGAGAAGACCCTTGCTGTTGTTCTCAGCTGCCGAATAACAAGTGATGAATCTGAGTTTGGATGTAGCATTTGGCTGTGATACCACAAGGGCAATCCCTGGGTGGGCTGCACAGTGGATCAGAGATTGGATGGACGTTCTTACTAGGTCTGTTATCCAAAACTAGCCCAGCACGTGTATAAAAGGAAAGGAAGTGTCTCCTTGTTTCAAACTTTGAGCCAATGCCAGCAGTATTTGCAAGAGCAATGAAAGGGGACTTGTATCCTACTTTAGGTAACAAACTTCTCAAGGAATCATAGGAAATAGGGCTAGAAAGGATTTCGGAAAATGATCTGGCCCCTTCCTGCATGGACAATATCCACCCCAATCCCATAAGAATCTTCACAAGTTGCTTTTGTTATTCCTTTTGATACTTGTATAGCAACCTTTAGCAGAGGTTTGGCCATAGAAATCAAACACTTTTAATTTTCATGTCTCCCTCTGTCTAAGCACTGAACAGTCCCACTGAAGTGTGTCCAGACCTCTGCCTTCCCTTATAGAATCAATGCAGAGAAAAGCATCAGGGCTTTATCTTCTGCAACCTCAGCAGCAACCAGCAGGTTCTGGATCAAACCTGTCGTAGGGGCCACATTTGGAAATCCACACAGATGGTTTTAAAGCTGTGAGCCATAATCTGCCACTGCGGTATTTCTGCAGATATTGCCATGACAAATCCACTTCCCAGGCTTGTGCAGAGTTCTAGACTGGCAGAGCTCCTCTTTGTTAATAAGTACATGTGAATGCCATGGCTGTGGGGGTTTCTTCATGCATTTCTAAAAATCTAACTAGTTCTGCAGCCTTTGTGCATCCTGAGTCACATTTGTGAATCATGCCTTTCTCCTGAAGGTGGCAAAGTTCTGGCTGGCTGTTAGGGAAAGGATGAAGCCTTCCCCAGTGATTGACTGGGAAGTCCATCGGTAGCTTAGGGGTTGTTTCCAATTTTTGAAGTCGCCACAAATAACTTGTAATTTGCAAGTGTGAGTTAACAGAAGCCGAGACGTGCACGAGAAGACAAGAATGCTTGGACAGACCAATCCTCTGACACGTACCACTGCAACCCCTTTCTATCGCTTCCAAAAAAAATTAGTGAATATGATGTCAGGAGGAAAAACTGAGAAAAAGGAATAAAGAAATAATTTTCAAGTGAAAAAATGTATTTTTTTTCTGTCTTCACAGTCAATTGAGGCACCTAGCTGTGTCAGCCGTATAATTTACCCACTGAGGCTATACAGACTACAAGCATCCATATCCCAATTCCCATGTACAATGAAAACAGCTGGAGATGCCACCCTGGGCAGCCACTTTCCTTCAGCTGCCCACATGCTTCTGCTCTGTGCAAGGCAGGATCCCATCACTCCACAACCATCCTCCAGGTGTGCCCACGCCCACGTGTCCTCCTTTGTGGGAATCATACCAACACAACCCCACTGGTGGTGGCACATAAAGCCCTTCTAAAGGAGTGATTGAGTCAGTGAAAGACTGGTCCTAAGAGCTTTTCAATCTTTAACTGCTAACGTCTTCTAATAAGAAGGGCCAGGGGAAATATTACAATGAATGCAAAGAAACTAACCTTTTCTCTTCCAAGAAAAAATGACTCATAGATCCATACTGCAGTTAAACAAGAGATCTTCTGAAGATCTGAATGGTGCATCCAGCCATGGTGAAGCCCCTCACATACAGATGAGCTGCAGTTAACAACTGTGGTGCATTAACTTCTAAAAAGTAACTTCAATTAATACCAGCTGTAGAGGTGTCCTTGGAGACTGAGAAGA